ATTATGGCCGCGAAACTAAGGGATCAATCCAAACTGCGATGATTACACGAAATCTGTGATTCGTAAACGGTGGTTGGGTCATATGAAAAGTCGAAATCGTGAACGGCTGCACGAACTAGGCTCAGGGATTTGCACAATGTTAAAGAGGATTAACTTAAGCTCTTAGGTCGTGATACCGTACATCAAGTCGTTGGTCGATTGTTCCTAGTCTACACTACAAATGGGCCGTTTAGGTCGTATTTCTTTCTAGAAGGATAATCTCCTTTCAAGAACGTGACTTCTGCTAAGCTACAAAACACCTTGCTATTAACGATTAGCATAATAATGTAGCTGTTTTCAAACACCTTATGATCGACTTCCGCTAAGGACTTTCAACTGATATGGCTCGACTATATATAGCACGGTAGAATTTTCAAACAGTACATTTAATTCAGTCGCACCAAGATGAGTTTAATATTTGCTCAGGTAATCACACCATTTCGATTACAATAATGTTCTCAGCCAATAGATCGTATTCACGTGACGTCACGACATAATTTGCCGCTATGTTGGTGCACATGCACTTACGTGTAGCTCTATGCAAATTAGGTAAACAAACTCCGGTTTTTGAAATGTCAAAAATTAAAATGGCTTGTAATCAAGATTCTTCCGTTTCACAAGATCATTGTGATAAGAAATCATCATTTCCCTTGTTCCAATATGCTAAAAAGTTGCAAGAAAAAGTTAGAAAGCGCTATTTGGATAAAATAGAACGATCGGAATCGATCCTGTTTTGATCGAGGGGAAGCGCTACGAGCCCGACTGTTTGCCACCGGTGGAATCAACAGATTTGCTTTGCTATTTAGTTCTTGAAACCAGCTTCTACACACAGCAGCAATTTAAAGCGTTTAGAAGTCTAGAGGCATACAACCAAATGGTTTCTGGATTTATTACAAGCGTACAAGGGCACATAATTTCAAACAAGTTTGTCGTCTTGGCCAAAGTGAAACATTCTCAGCGCATGAACGATCCTTTGATTAATATCTGGATTATAACTGAAAAGGATGAAACTATCAACTCTGCCCATTGTTTGGGATGCAAGGTAGGACTATCCGAATCTTGTTCTCATATCGCTAGTGTGCTGTTTTATTTGGAAGCGTGGACGAACGTAAACGGCAGACTTTCGTGCACACAAATGCAGTGCACGTGGATTCTACCAAATCGTGCAAACGAAGTAGAATACGCAAGGGCTAGGGATGTTAACTTCAAATCAGCTAAGAAAATGAAAGCCGATCTTGATGCGAATATCGACAGGCTGCCTGAAATGCTCGAAACAACAACAAACCAGAAAGAAAAAATTACTACTAAATCGCAAGTGCCGGCACCGAGCGAACCGGAAATGGACACACTATTCTGTGAACTCAGTAAATGTCAAACAACTCAGTAAATGTCAAACAAAACCAGTATTATTATCCTTGATTTCTCCTTATGCTGACAGCTATGTTCTACCAAGCCGTAATATTCCAGCTGTGATGAGCCTCTTTGACAAGAAATACCTTGATTTATCATATAATGACTTAGTTAAGGTATGTCAAAGTATCCAGATAGACATAACAAAAGAACAAATTGAGAGGGTTCAAATTGACACCATAAATCAAGCCAAAGGTAATAGCTTTTTTAGACACAGAGCAGGAAGGATTGGTGCATCCCAGAGTANCTGGCTCAGTACAATTAGTATTGCCTCTGTTGTGGTTTGTGCTGTGGTACTTGAAAGCTATTCATGGGCTCTGAAATCTCTATTGGGTGACAAATATTACAGTTATCGTCAAAAAACTGGCGAAGGTTTTTATTACTTTTGGGCTAAAGACGCAAAAATCAAGTTTGAAGACCAGGAAAATACCATGATAGCCATACATGCCTTGATTGTTATATTTTCCATCGCTGAGATTATTCTCGCCGTGGCGATGGCTCGGAGCAGTGATGCTGGGCGTCAATTGCCCCAGCAAAATCAGGTATGTTGCGTTACTCTGGAAAAAACCATTTATCGAATAGGGCACTGAAGCCTAGGAAGGCATGCGGAAATCCTTTCCTATCTCCTCTTTCCTTCGTCCTTACTCCTTCTCCTCTTCGTTATCTTTTGCTTTTGCACGACTTCCGTTTCCCATTCCCCTCATCCCTTCTTTTCTCCTCTCCCCTCCCTTTCTCCCTTTTGCTCTGCATTGCTAACTCCCTTTTCCTCTCCCTTTTCTCCCCTCCCTTCCATCTCCCGTCATTCTTCCCTCCCTTTTCTCCTTCTCCCATACCTCCCTTTATGCCTCTCTTATTTCCTGTCTCGCTCTCTTCCTTTTAACCTCCACCTCCATTCGTCTTTCCTCCAGTCCCACAGTTTTTCTTCTCACATTTCTCTTTTCATTCTTCCCTTTCCAGTTTTCCTTCCCTTTCCCTCCGGCCCCTTTTCCTTCTTTTTCTCATTAATCAACTGGATATTTTAATCTATTTTTTTTTAGTCATACTATGCATACCATCAAGTGGGAAATGGACATGTAGCGCTCCAAATGCAGCCTTTTCCACCACAAGCTATGGTGGCCATTCCGACTACTGAAGCCAACTGCAGCAGTGGTGGTAACCAGCAGCCTCAGCGCATGTAGTTACAGAAATTTTGTCTGTTTGTTTAATGACGTTGTATAGTCGCTTTCGAAAATATAATTTTGAGCATCAAAACGCTAGCCTGAGCGATTAACCAACGATAAAGCTGCGATCTCGTTGTAACAACTTACGCAAGGTAACGTAACGGATAGCAACTGTTACGTAACGTACCACTGTCCGGGTTCCCAAACGGGACATCTAAGTTTTTGTGCGTGCGCGATGGCGGCATCTTCGAACGGTGCCACGAGGCTACCGAGTTTATCGTTCGTTTTTCCCAATTATTGGCTTAACGTTGCGTCAAACACTGTAACATTTAGTGCGAGTTTTCTCGAAGGATTTGGGATTAGACTTTTGATTTTGCATTGAGGAAAAAAAGGAAGCTGTGCATGTAAAAGTCTTAGATTTAGTACAGGAGGTTAAGGTGGATCCCCCGGCACCCAAATATTAACAAATAAACTTCCTTTCGGAGGGCGAGTTACTATAAGAAACGTAGTTAACTCACCTCAAAGGTCTCTCCCTAGATATTCAGCAGCTCGGCTGACGATACAGTGAGGATTCTGTTTTGGGTGTTAATTTTTTTATACTTACGTCGTTACCATGGCAACATTGTCTCTAATGACAGTCAGATATATATATCTTATTATTAAAAACTGAATCATTGGATAATGCAATTCAAGACTTTTTATTGGCTTAGCCATTATGGTATATCAGCCAATATACCATAATCCACAAATATGGTAT